AGGCTACCTATGCAAAACCAACAGCCAACATCATATTAAAAGGCCACAAACTGAAACCTTCATGGTAAAATCAGGAACAAGACAAGGATGTCCACTATCACCACTCCTCTTCGATATAATTCTCAAACATTAGCCATAGCAATTAGACAAGAGAAAGAAATTAAAGCAATAAAGATAGGAAAGGAAGAAGTTAAACTGTCATTTTTTGCTGATGATATGATGCTCTACATTGAAGACACAAAAAACTCTACCAAAAGACTTCTTGACTTAATTGACACTTTTAGCAGAGTAGCTGGATACAATGTCAACACCCAAAAATCAATAGCCTTCTTGTACACAAATAACAGACTCACTGAGAAAGAAATTAGGGAAACAATTCCTTTCACAATAGCATCCAAAACATGAAGTATCTGGGAATCAATCTAACAAAAGAAGCAAAAGACCTCTACCCTGAAAACTACAGCACTCTGAAAAAAGAGATCGAGGAGGATATAAGAAAGTAGAAAGATAACCCGTGCTCCTGGGTAGGAAGAATCAACATAGTGAAAATGGCCATACTACCAAAACTGCTATATAGATTCAATGCAATGCCAATTGAAATTCCAACACTATATTTCACAGAACTAGAAAAAAGAATCCAAAAATTCATTTGGAAGCAGAAGAGACCTAGACTAGCAAAAGCCATCCTAGGCAACAGACACATGGCAGCAGGTATAACAATTCCCAATTTGAAACTACACTACAAAGCCACTGTGATAAAAACAGCATGGTACTGGCAAAGAAACAGACCTAAACAGATTGGAACAGATTGGAAGACACAAAAACAACTCCAGATGTACTCAGCTACTTCATCTTTGACAAAGGAGCTGACAGTCCCCACTGGAGGAAGGATAGCCTCTTTAATAAATGGTGTTGGAAAAACTGGATCTCAACCTGCCAAAGATTAACACTAGACCCTTAACTCTTACCATGCACTAAATTACAATTCAAGTGGATTAAAGATATAAATATTAAAACAGAAACACTAAACTTGCTGGAAGATAAGTTAGGCAGAACTCTGGAAGACATTGGCATAGGAAAAGACTTTATGAACAAATCCTCAGTAGCTCAGGAACTAGCACAAAGAATCAACAACTGGGATCTCATCTTATTAAAAAGCTTCTGCACTGCAAAAGAAACCATCAACAGAACTAAGACCCAACCTACAATGTGGGAAAAACTTTTTACCAGCTGCTCCTCGGACAAAGGACTATTATCTAGAATATATAAAGAACGCAAAACAATCAGCCCCCACAAATATAAAGACCTGATTCAATGGGCATCTGAAATGAACAGACATTTCTCAGACAAAGAAATAAAAGCAGCAAGTAAATATGAAAATATGCTCCACATCACTTGCCATTAGAGAGATGCAGATGAAAACAACACTGAGACTCCACCTCACCCCACAAAGAATGGCTGCTATCATGAAATCACACAATAACAAAAGTTGGTGGGGTTGTGCGGAGAAAGGAACCCTTCTCCATTGTTAGTGGGAGTGCAGACTGGGGTAACCACTATTTAAATCAATATGGAGATACCTCAAAGAGCTGGGACGAGAGGTTCCATTTGACCCAGCCATCCCTCTTCTGGGTATCTTTCCAAAAGAATTAAAAGAATCATACCATAGTGATATATGCGCACCTATATTTATAGCAGCACAGTTTGTAATAGCTAAAACTTGGAAGCAGCCCATTTGCCCATCACTTGGAGACTGGATAAAGAAGATGTGGTTTTTCTATAAAATGGAATACTAATTAGCCATAAAGAATGAGAAATTAGATTCACTCATAGGTAAATGGATACATATTGAGGATATACTCCTAAGTGAAATAAATAAGGCACACATGTGTAAATACCAAATAGTCTCTTTGGTGTGAAAAAGTATAATAGTACATAAGATCCTAATGAGATAATTGACAATGTGAAATAGGAAGAAAATGACTAAAGATGTAGGGAAAGTGGGAAGGGTTGGGGAAAGGTAATATGGGAAAAGAAAAAAATATGAGAAAATGAAAAAATGGAAGTAAAGTGTTTGTAAATGGGGAGGGGAGGGGGGTGAAAGGAGGGCAGGGACAGGGGAAAAAATGAGAACTGAGACCTGTCATGTAAAGGTACAAGATCCCAATAATGAATGTAACTGTACTGTATACTTAAAATGTACCAATAAATTCAGTTTTTTAAAAAAGCCCTTCTGAGGTTCAGGTGCCCACCCCACCTTATTACCTGTTATCAATACTTCACACTTCTCAGGCCAATGAATTTCCACTGAAAATGAAGTGATAGAGTCACCCCATCCTCCCCACTTTATCTTCCTAAAGCTTACTTTTAAAAAAAGGTTGGTCACAAAACACTTCCTGAAAGTCACATCATTCACTCAGCTGCTGCATTTCTGGTTGCCACGATTTTCACATTGTTGTTTGAATTGTCTACTTTTCTTTTCCACTTCTAACTTGTTGAATGGGATATCTTTGACTTGCCACCTTCTTCTAAAATCCCAGCAACCAAGTTCTGACAGCCATACAACTATGAAACATCAGTTAAACTTACCCATGCTTTAGTCGGAGAATGGTTCCCCTTACCTCCTCCTGCTTTGCTGGTCCAATGTGTTGCTCCAACCAGCTTTGTAAGATGTGGTTTGTACAGCTTCATTCAGCCTGACCAGCCACCAGAAGGGCTTTGATTTACATCTATTGCCTGATGGGGCGGGGGGGCTGACAGTACCAATCCCATTGCTTCCTGTGATCTTTCTGATTGTGCAAAACTGTTTGGTGACTAAATTATTTCCCACTAAATATTTAAAAGACAAGAAATATTAAGTAAACAACTCTAATGTAAAATAATTCCATTTCCGACCCATTAGCAGCATCTTGATTTTCATCTTTTTATTTAGTGCATACACCTCTGCCACACACACACACACACACACACACACTCATTCACACTTATTCCCTTGCTTATTTGTATTTAGTTTCTAACCCTAGGTACTGGAGATGGACTCTGTTTTCCATTTATTAGCAATTTATTAGTGTCACCACATCATTTTAAATTGCAGAGTTTCATCACCAGCCTCAGAGTCCCAAGAGCCATCATAGCTGTCCCATCTAGAAAGAGAAATAAAGGAAATGTTATAGGAATGCGATGAAAAGACATACTCTACCTCTGAATCAAGCATTCATTCATTTTTCATGTATGCAGAAGATTTTTATCCAATTTCCAATATGTGAGGGTCACTGCGGAAGTGTTCAAGGAATGCTAAATTCAAAATACAGACTCTACCTTCACAGAATTTGCTGGCAAATAATGGAGATAAGAGAGACACGAAGGAAAAAGAGCAGCAGATAAATGCTAAGCACCTGAGCGAGTGGTGGGAAAGTGGGAGGGGCGCTCCCTTTCAGCTGGTCCACTCAGAGGAGAGACCATGGAGGCAGTGACGCGGTGATGGCATTTGAACTGGGCCTTAGAGAGAGAGTAAACCTTTGAAAAACAGAGAAAGGGAAGTAGCGGGGAAGGAGTTCTGGGAAGAGGAAGCAGTGGGAGCAAACCCAGGGAAACAGGAGAGCTTCAGTTGTGTTTGAGGATCTCGTGGATACCAGGGGCTCCTCCTTCATTGGGAGGAGCCAGAAGCAGAACACCGGCCTACTGCCCAGGTCTCAGCCAGAGACTCTGCTGCAATGTTCTTTCCAGCTCTTTCTTACACCTATGACTCGGAAGTAACATGTCACCTTCTCAAAAAGGTGGTTCGCCATCCATTTCTCCTGTAACAGGACCACATCCTGCCCGTCTTTCCTTTCTCAGATCCCTCTGTTCGATCTTAGCATGTATCATCATTTATAATATCTCTGCTTACTTTTGTATCTCTAACAGTAGTTTCTAAAATCTCTGATAACAGACACTAGGCCTTCATGGCTAGTACATGAAAGAAGAAATTGCTTTCACTGATTGAATGAATAGTTGCATTCAGGATAAATGAATGACATAAGAATATTATGCATTATGACTTTCATGAGCCTGAAGTATTTTTGCTTCTTGGGTCTCTTCCTCCATTAAAAAATACTGAAAAAATTATGTTTTACAACAGTGCTAGAGTATATTCATCTTTCCTTTTCATTTAAAGAATTAAAACAGCATGGCTTCTAAAAATATCTGGGGCTATGCATCGTGCCTCTATACCTAATGGATAAATCAGCCCTGTGAATAGCAAAAAAGTTCATAAAGAATAAATAGGAAGCAATGCCGGACAGATAATATGGAAGATAATCATAGGTTTTGTATATCAGTGTGAGTTTAGTAAATTTGATCTGTATTTGGCAGGCAACAGAAGTTATGGAAAATTCTAAGCTGAAGAATAGTATGACTTCAGCAAGCCAGAGCCTTGGTCGGAAACAGAACTGTGAGATGAGGAGAGGAGGAAGGTGTTGGTGAAGGTTTCAGAGCGTGATCCAGACACCAGGAGGAGGAAATGGATCTGAACTCTGGTGGTGACAACGATGGGGAGTTTGGAAGAGTAAAGGCAGACCTGAGCACTTCTGTGAATGTCTCTCGAAGCTCCTTGTCTGGGAGCATGGGTTCGTTCTGAGCCTGGACTTGGAGAACGGTGTAATCATAAACAGAAACAGTGTCACGAGGAGAAAAAGAGAGAGAACTCTGGGGAACGTGATTTGGTTTGGCGTTTGTTTGGGAGAAAAGTGCTAGCAGAACAATCAAATAAAATATTTTAGCAGTCAGGCACAATGCTCAGCCAACATCAAAGTTTTCAAAAGCATAGCGTGTGGATAATTAAACCCATAAAGAACACTCCTAAACAACTGTTCAAGAATTACCAGCTCTTGGGGATGGGTGATTTATCCCAGGAGCTATCCCCAGTTAACAAGTTCATCCCTTTTTATTCTTCTAGCCAATAAAAGAGGGAAAAACGGGTTAATTTTTTTGTAACAAAGGGTAAATGTAGAGTTGGGTGAGTTTACTCTTATCCTCAATCTGTTCCAGTTAAATGAGCTCGTTGGTTATAGCAGGTTAGCGTTATATTTTTAATCAGCAGAGGTCCAAAAGCTCTTCATTCTATAAACTTGATAGCAGGTATGAGGCCTGCAGCTTTTCATCAGGTTCCAGCCAAAGAGAAAGTTGGCTGCAAACAGAACCACTTCAGCATGAGAGGCCTGGAGCACACTGGAGCTTCACGGTTGCCAGTCTCCAAGTTTGCTTTTCTGAAATAGATTCCGGAATGGTCCGCTTCTCCCGCGACCTCAATTCTGACTCTAAGTCACTAGGCTGCTGTGAGGTTTTAGGCAGAATCAGGCCATATTGCCGGAATGACAGGGGCAGGGGCTATCTGGTAGATTGAATCGAAGAAATCTGTCCCCTTCCATTAAAGCTCCAAGATCCTCAGACTTTCACATTTTACTGAATGAAGCAGGACATGATATTATAGGTGTCAGCATGTTCTCAAAATAACATGTGCCTCTGTCACTCTATCTGTAAAGTGAAGGAAATATTAAATGAGTTAATTTATATATACATTTTATATCATGCTTAGAAGACTTCCTGGTTCATAGTAAGTACACGACGTATATCAATTTTTTTTGTTTTTATCATCCAGTAGCTTTCTTGTATCTCCTACACTTTTCTCTTGAAAATGGAAATTGCATTTTACCTACATCAAAATCTCTTAAAGAACATTTTGAATGGAGATTCTTGGTTCCCATCATAGATGAACAGAATAGCAATCTTTTAGAATGAAAACCAGAATGTTGCATTTGATCCGTTTTTCTAAGAGATTTTAGTCTCCCTGCAGTTTGAGATCACAGGCATGGGTTTATACAAAGTATGGAAGAAATCTCTGCTTGGCTTCCATCTCCTGCTGTCTGAACCAGCTCTGGACATATGTCCAACATGTAGAACCAAGGGCCTGAGATGTGCTCAAGACAAGATAGAGCTTCTGTGGGGCTAACACCAACTGCATAATTCTGAAGACCACCTGACACCTGCTGACTCTGTATTAGGATCAATTCCCAGCCTGCAGTCACTGAAGGGAGCCTGCCATAGGTATCAGTTTCCCACGAAGGACATCTGTTTAGAGAGCCTGGCACATGCTTTGACTATATATGTCACTATGTCAATCAAGTCACATACACAGCATAATGATTCCTGCTGTCTCCTGATTATGAGTTATGTGATTTTCAGCACATCAGTGTATCAGATGATGCATGTTGAACCACAGCCTCACTGAATGAGACATCAATTTAACTCATTCAAGTAAACTCATCCCAAAGCAGCTATCACACATATCTAACTATTGCACATGAATCTAACATCATCATAGCAATCACCATACAAAATAAACCCTCACATTTCTGTAGGACTTCATGTTCACTGTCTAAGAACTTTCAGACCTGTTAACAGGAAACTCTTACAATGGGAGTTAGAAAACGGGCATCTTCTCTGATAGGATCTTCAAAGATTTTATGAGACTTACTTAAACACACCTAACAGACTTCAGGCTAATGTGGCACCTGACCCTCCATGCTCTGGTTCTGGGACAGGATCTTGTATGCCATCCTTACTACCTCCCACTGTCAGATCACCAGAGTAGAGGATATGTGGATTGCTGATTTTGGACCACACTTTGAATCTTGAGTCCATCACTCAGTAGCTTTGTGATCTTGAGAAAGCCACTTTTCAGGGTGAGGTAAAGATATAATGTAAAGCTCTTCTCCTGACACACCGTCCGTCAACACTTCATAATGAAATATGTAATTATCATTACCATTGTTGCCAACTATAGACATTACTGATGCTCATTAATGATTGTTTGAACCCAAATGTCTAAGATTTTGCCAGGAGTCTATCTCTTCTTTGACACTCTCTTTAAAAAAAAAAATAAGAGTATAAAATGGTTAATATATTCCATGTTTTCTTAATTTTTTGTTTATCTGTTTGGGTAAAATAGAGAAACTCTATGGCGCTTATTCTCAGCTGTCAATAGTATGTTTCATAACAGGAATAGAATATTTCTCCCAGAGAACCAAATTTAAACTCCACCCTTGTTCCAAAACAAATGAGCCCAGTTACTCTGTTTTGTTCCATCAGCTTCTTGACCAACATTTATAATAAATGTTTAAGATTCAGTAGTCAGATGTGTCACATCATCAGAGGTAATGATCAGTCAAGGAAAACAAGCTGGATGAATTTCCCTGATATTTGTTTGGCTGGGTGAGCTGGTCCCTGACTAATTTCTCACAGCATTTAGAAACTCAAAATGAATATATTAAATAAAGAAATAAATGAAAATCTTGGCATCCAGGGAACTATTTGCCTTTCAGTTAATTACAGTCATGGAGATTTTATGAAAAATTCACTTCATTGCCACCAGCTAACTTTTTTTGCTATTGTCATTGTTGTTGCTCCAGGTAAAACACTTAGCAGAACAATACTTCCTTAATAGGCCTTGGGGGACACTGCAAAGCAAAGAAAGAGAATAAGCTACCCGTCAGGTCAAGGGCCATGAAGATTCCAAGTGAAGGACAAACTTCCAGCAGAGGTGATACCCATAGAATAAAACATGTTAAGATAATAATTGGCTTTCTGTGTCCTAAGGAGCTTGATTCTCCTCCTACGTGGCATTGCCCCTCCCATGCAGCTCCCCAAGAACAGTTTATAGCACACTGTGGATCAGAGTGACCGTGACATGCAGAGAAGTGATCCGGGAGGAGATGTGACTCCCTCCAGAAGAAAACAAAACTATATCAAAAGGCAGTCTCAGTGGCACTATTTTTAAGGAAACAAAAAATAGGGCCAGGGATTTAACTCAGTGGTTCAGTGGCCTGCCTTGCAAGCACAAGGACCCGAGTTCAATCCCCGGTACCAAAAAAAAAAAAAAAAAAAAAAAAAAAAAA